AAAAAAAAAAAAAAAAAAAAAACTTGTATTGCTACCAGTTATAGAAGTAAAACCATCTGAAAACTACGAGATTTACCATTAAAATTTTTGTGACGGTATTTAATTTGGTCGGTATCGTATTATTTTCTTTCTCCCATTGATTGCCTTCGGTTTTATATCAGTGTTGAGCGATTATTTCATTTCATAATTTAATCTGAACTTTATGAAGAACAAATCCGATTTAAATAAATGGTAAAGTAGCCTTTAAAATACGAATACTCTGAAAGTTTATAACATACAGTAAAGACATAGTTTTGCTTATTTAATCAAGGAAATGAAGCATTGCCAACAATCACATGAAATATTGAAGTGTTCAGGTAAATTGTGGTTATATATGAGATTAGGTAATTATGAAATAGAGTTTCTAATGATTAATGTTTGGATCAAACGCAACAAAAGGTTAACAAGAAACCCCATGTACACGACTGTTACACTTCATATTGTTATTATCAGCTGGAAATGAATTTCATACCGAATGTATTCATCCTTTCCAGAAGGAGCACTCAGAGTTTTCTTCTTAAAATTTCAGGGCTATTTTTAGGCAGGCATGTATACATCACCAACATAGCGTTGTATTCATGTCAGCATTAGGAAACGCTTTCATACGAGTGATACTAGAAAAGCTTTTACTATTCCAGTAAATAAGTTACACGTTAACAGTAATAACTGTGAGACTATAGATCAACTGCATGAATGTCAGAAGTGTTCGTTGTCAAGCTAGTTGGTTACTGTTTCGAAGTGCTTCACTATTATTATTTGTTATGTGTCTGTAGCTAATTCTTTTATATCTACTTCTAAATTTTTGCAATATTTTGTTGTTCATCACTTTCACTTTTTAACTGAAGGACCACAAAAGTGATGATGTGCAAAATATTAATTGTGAAAATAATACATTGTTCACATCTTGAATTAAAACTTCTATAAATTTTTACAAAAATTTATTCGTTCGACTTGTTTGTTTCTAAAAGTAAAAAATATTCATACTAATTTTGTTTTTATTTTAATTTTTTCCTGTTGCCTTTTTCTATGTTGTCCTTGTCATCAACAGCTGTTTGTTGAGTGTAACTTTTGTTCCAGGCTGTGCCTTTGTGACGTTTGCTCATCGTTCCTGTGCGCAGCAAGCAATCAGACAAGTGCATCTATCTCAAATCATGGAGGTACTCTGTCGCCACCTCTTCATGTTTTTATTTTCTTTCAACATTCACTTCCCTCTCCAATTAGCATCTTCTACTACTTTTATGTTACTTCCGTTCAATAGTGAATTCATATTTCACGATGTGTTATTTCTCTTTCTGCCGTGAGAAAGTACGAGACATCGACATTTGCTATGTGCTTGAATTCCGTATAATGTATTGATGACACTATTATCTTGAGGAAAATTTAGTTTTACTATCATTAATAGTGGCATACTTATGGGAGCATGAGACGCATTTTAATGGCTTTTTATCGGTGAATGCTTTCTAAACCTTGATAGATGAAATCGTTCTTTCAGTGTTTGATTTCGAGGCATCCTTCAGCGTTCATTGTTTTAATGTTTCTGTTTTACAATTAGAAGTTGTAAATTTTTATGTTTCTATTATATTCCATCCTCAGGGCTGTTTTAGCATGCTTTATTTTTTTTGCTCAGTCTTCAATTGTTATTGTTAAGCGATGAAGCCGGAGAAACTGAAAATATGACTGAGATCCCAGCCAGATAATTCTGCCACAAATCTTCTTACCTCATATTTAGGGATGTTCCAAACCAATTGTGGTAAAATTTGCGGATACTCAAAAGGAAAAAGATGCGAAACGAATGAATGCAGCATCATTAGGAACGACGCCAGCCTTACCGAATGTGAAGAATTTTACAAACACGCTGCAACAGGTGAATTTCAACAGTAGGCAGATATTTTAATTCATTATATCTTGTGTTTTATTTAAAAGTAACATACTGCTGAGCATTACAATACGATACTTATTTGAAGTGTTAGAAGTGAGTTTTAAGCCCAAGGCATTTAAGATAACTTAATTTGAAAATCAAGTGATCAACTATATGTAAGGTTTTAACATGATATAAGCCTTTTGTGGAAATGTGATGATTATGCTAGTATTCTTCAATATTCTTCGTTGAAACCCCGTTAAGATGCAATGAAATCGGGAAGTTTTATTTCTTGTAAATGGTATAGCTTTTTGCAAGGGGGAAGACTTGTATTCGTTTCAATTTTTTGATTAGGTCTTTGGGAACTGCTTTTATGCTACATTATATATATCTTTTCAGGTACTTCAAACACCGCAGCCAAGCAGCACTACAAATCCAGCTTTGGGAGCGCAACTCGCAGCACTTGCTAGTATCCTGCAAACTGCTTCTCATTCGAATGTCCTAAGTTTAATTGGAAATGGTACTTTTTTAATTCTGTCGTATTTTGTCAGTTAAACTCATGAACAAAAATTAAACTGAAAGTCTTTGTTTGTCAAGAAGTGAAGGGTAAAGTAAGGTAAAGAGGAGATTATATTTTAGTGCGATCATGGAAGTCGTCTTCAGAGTTGTAGATCTCTTGGATGACATGAGTAAACCATAATTGTGTTGTAGTATTATCTGGTTTGGGTCGTTTAACGGAGAATGCAACATCATCGAATCAAACATCCATAACATCATCACCCTTTCCTCTTGTGAGCCAACAAACTTTGGCATCATTGTCTTCTTCACCTGGCCTTTCAAATGCAGATTCATCAGGTACATCGTGGTGAACGCTGTGCATGGGTTCCCTCCTTGCTTTTGTTCCTTGTTTGCAATGAGGCATTATCAGCGTTGGGGGATGTCTTTTTTTTTCTAATCGTAATTCACAATTTCTGTCGTTCTTTATAAGTGCATGTCTTTTGAGTGATTTGTATTCGTGCTTTCGCTAGTTGTAGCATCTCTCTTATATGAAGATCAGGTTTCATTTAATAGAAGTACGCTAGTTCAATTAACAGTGTCTCACATTACGCCTCATTTGTTTCTCTTTGTTTTGAATTTATTCTCTGATGAAAAATTTAAAGACTTAGTAGCGATTAACTTATAGTTAGTTGAGTTTTAATAAGTTATTACGGGAGTTAGTATGAATCATTTTTTCTGGATCATCTCCTCTTTCTTTGTCTCTTCAAGCAAATTATGATGGAAAATTTTATCGGGTTGATATCAGCGTAATTTGGAATCTTTCTGAAGTACTTCAGAGAAGTCGCGCTAATGAGAGTCATGCCAACAACTTTCATTAATATGTGATCACACTGACACACTTTCAACGACATTTGCAGTAAAAATAATCCTTATTTGTGTGCTGTGGGACTGACTATTCATTTTCATCATTATTTTTGGTATTACTAAGTTTTCATTTATATGACATCCAATCTGTTGTATGTTATACTTTTGTTGTCAAGTGTTTGACATCTGAATTAATTGAATGAATGACTAAAAATATTTCACTACTTATATAACAAAAAAAATTTTTTCATAATTTAATAACAAAAAATTTTTTGAACCGTGAGTTTTAGCAGCATTTCAACAACAACAACAGCAACAATTAGCCGTTCTTCAACATCAGCAGCGTTTACTTGATTTTTTTAATCCATCTTTCATGAATCCATCGCAGGCTGTGGCTAATGGTAAAATTTGTATTCCGTGACACTCTTTGTTATTTTTTACTAAGTGTAAATCGTGCAAATCATCTACTTTTAATTAGTTTTTTATTCATCAATTCACTTTAAGCATATCTTAGGTTCTTTCGTTGGTGAGAATAAACTAAACGGTGTGACAGGGAATAACAATCTCATCCAGCTTACTGGACAGAATACATCCAATGGAATGGATGTTATGCAACGTGCATATGCGGGACTACAACATTATGCCGGTACACCATTTTTTGCCTTAAAATTATTTTTCCACGCCTAAATTTTTCCAAAAAATTATGATTTTTTTCAAAGTTTATGTGATCATTTATTTGATTTAAATTTTGTACTAAGAATTATTTAGGTTTTTATCCTCAGTTACCTACCGGTAGCTTACTTACAACTGCTAGTACATCTGGCGCAGCAATGAATATAATAAGCAGTGGGCAATCAAAGGGACCAGATGGATGTAATCTGTTTATTTACCATCTTCCGCAGGATTTTACTGATAATGACTTGTTCACTACTTTTGCTCCATTTGGGACAATTATTTCAGCAAAAGTCTTTATTGATAAACAAACTAATCTCAGTAAATGTTTCGGTATGTATTTTGTTCCTTTTCGCTTAATAGTTCATACATATATGAGAGTATTGTTTTTATTTTAATTTAATATCATGTAGTGCTTTCTGAAGCAATGTTATTCATAATCACATGAAAATCGGCATTTTCAGGTTTTGTTAGCTTTGATAACGCTGTTTCGGCTAGAAATGCTATTTCGGCACTTAATGGATTTCAAATAGGTTCTAAAAGACTAAAAGTACAGCTGAAACGAGGAAAGGATAGCAAGCCGTACTCACATTCGAGCATGTCTGTTACAAGTGACAGTAGTAGCATTCATCCTTTATCAACTTGATTTTTGCGAAAATTTGAATGTTTTATTGCAGCAGAATGAATATTTATGTCACTTTTTTGAACCACGCTATTTCTTGCATGCTACATTATTTTTATAATCTAATTATATCCCGATTTTAAATATTATTAAGTCGTGTGAAATATAAAGCTAATAGCTTTCCTTTTTTGCTTATGTTGTACTTTGTTACTTATTGATTCTGATATGAGAATTATTCTAGTCGTTCAGTATTGTAATTCGCTTCCCTTAGACTAAAAGTCCTTTCTTTTCTACATATCTCCCTATTTGAGTGTACTTAAATTCATATTGTTAATTTTGTACCAACTGCATTTCTTAATTGTTTGCTTGATTTTTCAGGCTTGCCTCCTAGTTGAAGCTTCATTTTTTTCTCACGCTTGACCTTGCCAATTATTTTTCGTTCTCATATTAAGCTCTCTTGCCAATGTGCTTTTCTATTAAGTGTTTTTTGTTTGGTAATAATAGATCTGCATTATCTTCAAAGAAACTTAGATAATTCCTCCGGAATCAGTATTTTTTCCGAATAAAAATGGTTTCATAATATTTCTACACTGCATTCAATTTTAAGTCGTTCTGGTGCCGTTTAGTGATATGATTTCACAGGCAAACGACTGAACCGTCTGTATCGGTTTGAAGATACTGGTTAAAATCATGGGAGAAACTGCAGGTAGTAATATTGTGCTTGATGTCTAAACATGAATAATGCCTCAAACAAGCTAGAAAGTACTAGGTACGACTAGAAACGTTAGATTTATGTTTAATGTATGAAGGTTAGGTACGACTAGAAACGCTAAATTTATGTTTAATGTATGAAGGTTTCAGTAGCATCCATCATTACCGGGTCGTAGGAATTATTGTAAGTTTTAGGTATTTTAGCATTTTCTCCGGTTCTTGGTTGCATTCTTACTGTCACAGTTCTGGTGTTGCATTTTTTCTCCATGCGCTTCCGATTCAGTTGAATAGGAAATATGACTTATTTCTTTTGTACATATCATCACATAAGAATTCAAATTATTCATGGTTTGGTGGTGAAGATGGTATTACATATCTATCTTGGTACGAATTAGTCATTATAGGATTATATAAGTTGTCGCCACATTAAATTAATGTTTAAATTTGTAAAGTAAAATATTTTTTCGACTTTAAGCAGTATTTTGGTATGCTACTCGATTATTCCGGTTATACAGTCAGACGGAGAAGTACACCATTCTTTCAATATTCTCATCTAACTTCATAAGCATAAGCGGAATAACATAATTTCTCTTCAACTATCAAAATTAGTACTTTATTCTTGTCATGCAAGCGATCTCCAAATTTTTGCATGCAATTGTAAACACTATTCATTATAATTTTCGAACTATCTGACTATTTTATCAGCATGTTTTTGCTTGATGAGAAAAAAGCCTTATTTTAGTAATTTATTGTTGTTTTCTTGCTATATTTTGTTCTGCAACAAGTTCTAAAATGAAAATGTATCAATATATGCAAAGACGCAAGCTAGGAATTAGATCATTTGTGTCAAAAGTATTATTAATATCCCTTTACTGATTAGTTTTTTGATACAGAGTTGAAAGTGAAAGCATATTTAAATGTTCTACAAATAAAGACAAATTCAAGTGCACACTAACGTACGTAACGTTACGATTATAGTAAAGAATGTCACTGGTAAAAGATCGAAGACGATGTGTAAGAGATAAATATATATGTTTAGTTTCAATTACGCTATGAATTCGATTAAAATTCAAAAAATGTCAATTGATGCAATAATCGCGCATAAAATATTTACATATTTTTAAGTCGATAGATATATATACAAGATGTGATCATCGATCATCTCCCATGCATAATTTAAAAAACATTTAGGAGTGTTAGAGAAGTTAGTGAGATCGGTAATCAAAGTTTTGGAAAAGATGCATACTTATAAAAAAAAACAATTATATTACTTAAACTCAGGATTAGAGTATGAAAAGTTCAGGAAAGCTTCTGGATCCACGGAAGCTAATAGTGTTTTATCTGCAATTGGTGTAAGCGTCGGTTTTTCTTGCGTAAAATCATCATCGAAATTTGATATATCATTCGGTGACTTCTGAAATGTCACTGTAAGTGATGTACTGAGTTAAAATGTTTCCAGCTGCAAATTTTTCAGCATCATTTTAGGGACAACTAAAGAGGAAAAGTGAATCACGTTTAAGTGAATTTGCTTCATGTGAATACGACTTGAGTCAGATTTAAATAATGAACAACAAAAACTAAACAATTGAATCTAATATTGTTCTAGTAATAAGACTATATTCTTTAAAAAAATTTATAGCGATAAATAGGAAGAAGAAATTTTACCACTATAGGTTTGAAAGGTGGTTGCATTTGTCGTGCTTCATATCGTTTCCAATCAACACCTCGGAAAAAAGAATGAGTGCGTATAGGTCCATCCGGACATTCTGGCATACCAAGTCGAGTATTTGGATTCCGATCAAACAGCTACAAATTCCAGAATTTGTCGCAACTTAAAACTATATCAATCAATATTCAAGCAATATTTCTAAAACTTCATGAACTATAACTTTACTTAAATCAAATAAAAGCTTATAACATACTGCACTCAAACATTTTGCAGCTTCTTTACCAATACTTTTAGGAAAATATGGCCTTTCATTTAGAATCGAGTCAAATAGTTCTTCTTCACCTTCTCCATGGAACGGACTTTGTCCAATAAGCATTTCATACATCTAAAATTCATTCATTCAACTCATCTTTGATTAGAATATATATTTTTTAACATCTCTAAATTTATGCTACATAATGACAATAAATAATAATTTACATTTTATAATAATTTAATCAAATATGAAGATCAATTTTTTTTAATCATATAAAATGATGAATTATCCTCCA